CTGCCACACTTCTAATTTTTGGCTAAACAAATCAGAGAAAGATAAGTGAAACAAGGGGAAAAGCAGTGCAGAAGTATGAAGGGCCAGCCCAAAGTCCAACAATTCATCAGTGGCAGAACTGGAACGATGCAGATCCCCCAGTTCCTAGCCATGTGTTTACTTTATCACCTAACACTGCACTTCTGATCAGGTGTGAGGAGGAACTCATAGGCTCAGAAGGGCAAATGTACATGAATAACTGACAAAATTGTCTCTTCATTGGATCGTGTCAGGAAATGGTAGTCTAAGACCAACTCTAATGGAAATCTACTACCTAATCTAATCTATATTTATATAACTATTCATGATGCTGATATGTAACTACGTATCCATATGTAAATAGGTAACTATCCACAATAAGTCTGAGAAATGTATACACAGAGCTGATATTTCATGCCTTGCTTCTAAGGCATGCACAGTGTCAAATCATCTCCAGGCATATAATGCATGGGGGTTTTAACATCAGAGCCTGAACTGAAACTCTGTAAGCAATAAAATTTAGAGAAATAGCTTAGTTAATGCTCAGAACGTGGCCTGGCAGCCTGCCATGCATAAACATGCACTGAAACTGGAGTTCATGCCAAGATTCTTAGCTTTCAACTTCATAGAAATTCCTTGTATGGTTTATACTAGATCCTCTAAGTTCATTTAACTTTTCTCTTCATTTTTGCAGTTTAATCCATAGCGAGTTGAACTTATTACCTTTTTATATATAAGCATTAATAATGTAATAGACATAACTCCAAGTAGAAGTAATAGAATTAGTCTGTTCATATAATTTTGATTAAAGACAGGCCTAACACTAAGAGGACACTTACTCCATGTCTTCTGTGCCAAGCCTCTATGAACACAATGAGATGCTGCAGTGTGACCTATTACAATAATGTGTATGGCTTGTCACATAATAAATGCTTTCTAAAACTCATGAGAATTCACTTCACACTCGGGTGTCGAATTTGCGCTCAAGCTCCTCTTAAGCCAAAGGATTTCTCAACAGATTTGACTGAAAGATCAAGGCTTTAACATTTGTTTTCATAATATCAAGAGGTCTAATTTGACTCTTATATCTGATGTCTTTTCCAAGCCTCAAATCCGTACAAAGGAAATAGCTGCGGTTCCTTCCTACAGACTCCAGTTTGCTTACTTCTTTTGTTTTCTAGTAATTATTTATATTGATTTAGTTTTTATGTTTTAGATCTTTACTAAACTAGACCTAGTCAATTACTTACGTACGTATGAAGCCACATTCAATATATGTATTAGGTGAAGAGTAAATTCTGAGCTCTGTCCTCTCTTTTTTACAGCTTCAACACACAGTTATGAGGCACAGAAATACTATTAACTCCAGCTAGAAAATGGACTTAAGGCAGAGCTAAGATTTTGCCATTTGTCACATAGAAAGCCCATGGCAGGAAAGGAAAAAGGGGTGGAAGACAGACAGGAATCTCAATTTCAGATTATACTGAGAGCTTAATTAATACATCAGATGTTATTATTGATACTGGACAGCTGGACAACCATACAAGATTTTCAACAGCACATGCTTTACAACAGATCAGTTATGTTGGTCTTCCTTCTCGTTTACAGGTTCTGCTTGTTTTTAAAAATGGAGCACTTGAAGATTCTAAAAATTGTGTTCAGATCAGGCAAAAAGATTGTATTGTAAAGTATTGTTTTAGCCAGACGCCTTGAGGACTTTCAAAAATGTTGACAGGTAATCATTTCACACTATTAAATTCAGTTCAGACTTAAAAAATTTAGCCTGATTATACGGTCGTAATAATGGAGACATCAAATGAGGTATACTTCAGTGCTCCCTTTTCACAGAAGAGTAATGATGGCTGGGCCATTAAGTGCAACTACCATGCTGTCTTTGCCCAAAAGAAATATGGGTCATACTAAAAAAAAAGATCAATAGCTGTCTCCTCAAATCAGGCCATATTGGACCATAGCTCAATAAGGCTGACCAACCAATTGATTTTGAGAAGAAAAACCGAAAAAGTTGAGAGAAGCCCAATTTAATATTTTATATTCAATTATATATCAACTGTAAAAAAACCCACCCAGTACTGCAACATTATGACAGACTTATATGCACATAAGTGTGCACAGATGTTGTGCTGCATGCACGTACAGGCTTTCAGAGTGGCCACACCCAAAACAATCAAATCTCAGCTCCATATGTGCAGTGTTTCTCCTGCTGTACGTAAGGACACACTTATGTAAATATTTGTGCAATTTTATTTATATAACATGACATAAAATTCAGAAAGCTACTAAAGATAATTATGATAATTACTGCAACCTTGCTGCTGCTGATTTACAGGGTATGAACTAGGCCACCTGCTCTGTAGTAGCTGTAGTGTCAGACCCAAGAAGGTTTTAACTGAAACAACACTTCTATGCTCCAACCTCCTGTGCAAAGCCCATATCAAGATCCTCATCTAGTAAGGATGTACATATAGTTACAGTTTGGGAACAAAGGGAAGATGGGAAGACAGTTTCCCTAAAATTCAGTAATTATGAATGAAATGCTAACCTACCCCATACGTAGCAGTTAATACTGCTATGCTGCATCTCACCAGGCAGTTTTTTCACTAGTGTTTTAACAGTCTATCCCCAAAAAAAGAGTCATGAAGCAAGGACCCGATTTCTTCCAATGACATCTCTGCATGCAGGAAGCGTGCTGTCTGTACAATAACTGCTACAGTGGCAGCAACTCTACCTATGCATATCTTCATCTGTGGACACAGAACCTCTCACCTTATGATGCAGTACATCACTTCGGTTGAAGATAACTTATAAAGAGCTTAATTATATAGCCCAGCTTTTTATATTTTCTTTTTGGAAAAAGCTTAGTAGGAGATGATTAGTAGTCTCTGTTAATTTGTCCCATAGAAGGTTTCATGGATAATTGTACACATTCATAACATGCTGGTTTTGAAGTAATTAAATAGAACCATTAAGACTGCTGGGTAGAAAGATACCTACACTTTGCATGAACTTTATACTATTTGCTTTTGCTTGGCAGTGGACTGGTTAAGAGGTTTTTTCCCCATAAAATGATCCTTCCCATAGAAAAGATTTTTGAGGCTTTACAGCTTTTGTTAGCATTTTCAGGAAGTCTATAAAAGCATTTTCAGTTGTGAAACCTTAAAATGTGAAAGAGGTAATCTTCATGAACATCTTCCACAGTAAGAGGAGTAATTTCTCTGACAATTGCACTTGTGAGATTGGGGAAAGGGGATGAGAAGTTACAAGGAGTCCAGGCTTCAAAAAAAAAAAAAAAAAAAAAAAAAAAAAAAAAAAAAAAAAAAAAAAAAAAAGAAAAGGTATGTAAAATGAAATAAAAACTTTTAAGCTCAAGAAATGCCATTAATACAAGGTCTCAGTTTGGAAGGAGACTGTTGAAAGATGTTCCTTGCTATAAATCTGTCCCTAGTTAAAAGTGGGTTGGGATTAATTTGACAGACCTTCATTCATTTTTCCATTTTCAAATGCTGCTGGATTCTCACATCAAGCTGGGTATAGAAATTAACAAGTGAAATCCTAAACCTATGTTCCCCAGCAGACTAAACCAGATAGTAACAAAGATTCCCTTGGAGCCTGGTAAAAATCTATGAATCCGTATTAACTGTAGAATCCCTTTAATAAAATACTAGTTATTATGGAAGTATGGGCTTTCCCAGACACCTGATATACAAGAGCTTCAACAGTCCCAGTAGGTGGATGTCATTCACAGTGACTGCAAACAAATATACATTCTGACAGATCTGTTGATACCATTGTTAAGGCCATACTTCGTTCTATTGAGATTCAGAGCAGCACAACTTCTGAGACACAGAGGTGACCACAACTACAAAAAAAACCTAGAGAGAAGAACCTACGCATAGACAGGTCACATTTAACTGCAATACTTTGCAAAGAGGAAGTCAAAGTAAGATACAGTGTTAAGACCACAGAGACAAACATGGGGCATCAAAGTTTAACTTGTTATTATATTATAAAACACCAAGGCTTCCTAAACAAACAAACAAATAATTCTTACAGAACAGGACTAACAGAACTGGTAGCCAGCTGTATTCTTCCCCTTCCTAGACACAGCAGCCATAGCGCACAAATCCCATGCAAGATAGAACACTTAACCTCAATATGCTCATGATCAACATTAACAGTACGTTTCCCTTATCCAGCCTTGGGCAGACCGAAGCAGGGTTTTCTGTGTGTACTCCAAGAAAGCTTTTTCAGTGTATAGACAACAGAAGCAAAGGGAGCTCTGTAAATATTTACCATAAATGTTGCATTTCCCTTTCTCCAGTCATTGACAATACATGCAATTTTATTCAAACTAGAGGAATTTGAGAATTGACTGAGCTTAAGAAAGTGATTTGTTTTGTACAGATACATATCATAACACACACAGAAGTTACCCCTATTTTCCAGACAGAAAAAAAAAAAAAAAAATTGAGTCAAAGCATTCTTTCCTCCAAACCTATACCAGTGTCAAAGACCTCCATGAGCAGAATGGACAATAAAATGTTTTCCACCAAATCTGCAGGCAAAACAAGCTTCACCGTTTACCACCTTGTGGCTCGAACTGGTAAATATTCCCTTCTCACACACCCCCGGTTTCATCGTTTTACAGTTAACTACCCTCTTAAGCAGCAGGCACAGAAACTTCGCTCAAAGTTCCTCCCCAAAGGAAAATTGAAGACTGTATGCTTTCAGAGAGATTGACACCAAGCCCAAGCTGCCCTGATCGATGGGGTAATCAAGAATGCCAGGACTGCTTGTCCAGCTTCCAAACCGCTCTCAACATCCTTCATACAAGCAGCAACCGGTTGCCCAAGCTGCATCTCTCTTCTACCCACAGCTTCTAAAAGCCAGCAGCCACCCATTGAAAGGATGCTACGGTCATACGGAAGAAACGAGAAGTATGCGGTAAACGAAGAAGTACTTACATCCCGGAATTTGTTCCAATACTTGTCTTTATCGTACTGCGAAACGGTGCTCAGCCATTTGTCGTTGTCCAGGAAATTGCCATGATTGCTGTTACTCGTGATGATTTCAGGATGCCGGCTCTCCACTTGCAGGAAGCACCAGGCAGCGAGTACCAGCACGCCCGACATCTGCAAGGAGAGGAGAGGAGCGGAGATGAGCGGAGCAGAGCTGGAAGGAGCGGAGCGGAGCTGAGAGGAGCGGAGAGGCGAGGAGCGGAGCGGGGGCGGCTTCCTCGGGCAGGGAAGTTTGAGGAGCCCCCGAGTTCGGGCTCGTCTCCCCTCACGCCCCTCGTCAACTTCTGGCTGCGGCGCTGCCGGGTCCGCTGAGACCCACCCGGGAGGGGCGGGGAACAACGACGGGAATAAGAATAGTAATAATAATAATAATAATAAAAATAACACGGGTCACCTGGGGCCGGGCAGAGACACCAGCTAGGTGAAAATACAGCCTTACGAGATGCCAATAAAGCCTCCCGCGGGAGCAGCCAGCGCTGGCTCCACGAAGTTTGGCTGCGAACGGGGGGAGAGGAAGACCCTACCTCCGGGCAGTGCAACACCGGCCGGGGCTCCGAGCACCGTGTGCGCTGCCTCCTCCTCCTTCTTCTCTCCTTTGTGCGGCCGCCGCTGCTCGGGTAGCGGGTGAGAGAAGCCGGCGAGCCCCGGAGTAAGCACCGTCAGCCGCTCCGGCTCCGTGTGTGTGTGTGTAAGAGGGCGGCGGGGCGAGCGGCTGCCAGCGGCCGAGGTCTGGCGCCATCTCCCCGCCGAGCGGCGGCGGCGCGGGGGCGGAGCGCGGGCGGCTCCCGGCTGAGGTGAGAGGCGCGCGGCGCCCGGCTGAGGTGAAGGGCACGCGGCGCCCGCCTGAAGGTGAAGGGCACGCGGCGCGGGGCACCGCTCGCGCCCAGCGGTCGGCCGTTAACGGTCAACGGTCACTTTCAACGGTCAACGTAAGCTCTCTAGGGGAGCTCTGAGAGGCGCTGGGAAAGGCCGTTGAGGCAACGGCGGGGGAGGGGGGGGGGGGGGGAGAGATTGGCCCCTTCAGCGAGACGAGCAACGGGAGCCTTCACTACTGCTGCAGCCTGGGGAGTTAGAGAGCCGTAAAACCGGCCTTAAAAACATAAAAAAAACCCCAAAACCTAACCCACACCAGCTTTTATAAGCCCCCGGTAGGATATGACTATCTTGAGCCAATGTTTTTACAGTTTCTAGAAGTAATGACATTTCAAAGGCATGGAAGCCATCCCCGGTTTCTCCATTTTTCCTTTGACGAGGAGCTGTCCTCCCTTGGTCAACGCATCCCACACCATGAAGAGGTTTCTAGAGGTTTCTGCTCTCACACCATATAATGAGGGAGGGGCTGCCCAGGCTGTTGGAAGGGCCTGCAGGAAAGCCGTCTTCCATTTTTTTTTAAAATAAGAAGGAGACAGATGAGGGGAGCTACATACTGGTCAGGGAACTAGGGTGAAAGGAGGATAACTTCTCCAGCAAGAAAGGAGAAAGATCTCCATTGTCAGATAAGGAGGCAGGAGGGAGGGCTGGTCAATTTCCCACATCGGGATTTGGGTAGTTGTTGCTGTATCCATCCCCAAAGACCGTCAGGAAGGAACTCCTCCTCCTCTTACTTCTGAGCATTTAAAGGAATAGGAAAGAGGAAATTTTCACATCTAGAAGTATTTTTTAAAGTATGGAGTGGAGGCTCTTATTGATGGTCTCATCATGGATGGAAGAAAGAACACATCCCCTGCTAATTAATATGATGCCCAAAAATGAAGACACATACTTTTGCTGACAACCCATTTTAAATACAGCTGTGAGAGCTGTTCCATATAACATTTTTCAAATATGGTTCAACAAAATGTCTTGTAAATACTGCCTTTTCTCTCCAAGAAAGCTGTCAACAGGGTTAAGTCCACTTTTTACAGAAAGACACATCAGGGGTTTCTTAAGTTACACAGGAAAGGGCCAAGTTTATTAATTTTTACTGCTATTTCTGAGCACTGAACTCAGTGTACAGCTCTAATCCTAGATCTGATTTTAAATACAGTTCCTAAATACTACGTAACCACAATAAAACCTCTGGGACTGAAAAAACAATGAGGGTTTATTAATTTTAAAAGCAGAGAACAAGCACGTATGTACGTAAGTACCTCATATTGCATCCTCCCCTTGGTGCACATAGAATCTAATGAAAGCTGCATGCCTGCAGGAGGGCAAAATATAACCCAATAAAAGCAACAAATAGAAGAAATCCAAACCAAAGCCCTGCAGATTTGGATGTAAATCCATATCCAAACACCTTGCTCCATCTTCCCTCCTGTACTGGACCATACCATTCTTCTGATGGTGGTCCAGGGTAAGTATTGCTCTCAAATATCTCTGTTGTGCACAGACGTTCCTATAAAACCTTTAGTTTCAGTGACAGATAAGGTTTATGTAACTTCCACCTGGCAGGGTGAACACAAGCTTTCTTCTTTCTTTCTTAAGATTAACAGAGTACTGTGCAGTTTGTTCTGTATGGGCCTTTTCTCTAAGGCTTTTAACAGCAGAGAATTTGTCTTCTTTGCACAGACATTAAAGACCTTGCACCATCTTAAATCTCATGGTTAAGAGGTTTCTCCAGTGAGCTTATAGAAATCTGTTGCCATTCAGCTATATACCGTTCTGTTTGACTTGTGTGTTTCACCCCGAACATTGCTGAATTTCAGCACCTTCATACACAGACCATGTTGCCTATAAATATTTGAGATTTTTTATGCACAAGGAACTACATCAGTGGTTCCAGTGTTGCATAGATGCGCTTGTTACTACTTTCTTGATCCCACTGGAGGTCAGACCAATTTAATCCTCCCTTGACCATTTCTTCAAGTCATGAATTGCCAGGCCAGCCTGGTAAAAGAGCAGCAGAACGGTGTTTCCACCAAAACTGGAAGGAGTTTTACCCATTATATATTTATAGTAGCAGTTAGTTCATCCCTGTAAAACATGCTTGTTAGCACAGCACGCCAGGCCCGGTCCTTCAGTGACTTCGGCACGGTTGACTTCACTTAGTATGAAGCAGGCTGATATGCTTTCCAGTTAAAGACCTGAATGATAAATTACAGAAACCTTGTATATAAAGTGAGTAATTGCATTCTTACTTGTAACATTTGTGTCAGAAATGCGTCTTCATTTATTTAATTACTTCATAATTCCATATTCAAAACATGGCTAATCTTTCTTGATCCAGTAAAACACAGGCTTCCTGTTTAATCCTGATAGCAATCTCTATCACTCTGCAGCTGCAGCATTTCACCTCCACGTTGTTTATCATCCATGACTAGAATTGAAACACCCTTGTCGGCTGGTTTTCATCTCTGGACAGTGCTGTAATTACCTCTTATTCTCATCCAAGAATATAATATTAGAGATCTCTCTATAGTGGATGACTCAACTATTCCGTATTTTGGATGTAAAAAGCTCCTTTGTTCCGAGTTAGAAGAACTACTGAAGAGTTAAAAAACATATTTTCTTTTTCATGCTTGCAGCTGTAAAAGGTGCCATGGTATTGATTTTGGATATTATTTGATAATTCACCTCAACTGTATAATTCATTTGATCAAAAGTTGTAATTACAAGCGTGCCCTGCCAGCTTCTCCATGCTGTAGCCTGTCCAGGTTCATTCTGGAAGCAGAACCTTCTGGTGCAGAAAGCATTTCACACACTTAAGAATCAAGGGCCAGATCTCATCTCCAGCTCAATTCCCCACACAGAGGAATGTTATAGTTATCTTAATAGGGCACTTTGGGACTTTCAGTTAATAGAGAAAGCCTTTAGCACCAGTCTTGCAGGCAACTTAACTGAAACGCGTTAACTTCCCCCTAAGACCAAAACAAGGATGCCTGGAGAATCAAGTCAGCCATTCCTGTTTTCCCTAAAGCTGCACTGAACTTGTCCCACATCACAGCCAGTAGCCAGCAGCTGTGTACCCAGTAGGGTAAAGTCAGTAACAATAGCACATAAGGGTTGTCATGTAAGGGATTTTACTTCCCCCAGTTATACTTGATAGCAAGACTCACTTTTTCACCTTCTTGATTGCTTCCATAGCTCTTGAGGCAGTTCTTGCAGCCTTTGTAGTAGAGCCTTGAAAATCATCTGTGGACTTTTATTGATGGTTTTTCCCCTCCTCTTGTGAGGCACAATTCCACTGACTTCAGTTTTTTAAACACTCAGTCAGGAAAGAAAATCTTTACAGTAACAAATGTTTAATGTGCATTTCTGTACTTTACTGTGTACCAGAGTCTTTCACTACTGGATTAGGAAAATTCAATTCCCGTAATTTAACTGGATTTAAAAATATATCACTAAAAAGGTACACGCAGTGGCACAGACCTTTATTTAACATCCCTTTGTATCTTCCATATACTGTTGTATCCTTTTAATAGACAGTGGTTTTATTTCCTCCTGTGATTCTCAGAACTGCAGATTCAGCTTTGTTAGCTCTGGTGGGCAATTGTGCAGAAAAAAAACTAGTTTAACCTGTGCAATAAGTAATTGTTGGCTTATACAAAGTTCCTGAGATACTTGTCCATTTTAAAACAGACTGTAAGTCTTCTTCTCAGAAAATACTACAAATACAGGTTCTGATTTGACCACTTTATTTGCCTCTGCTCCTGGACTCTTCTCTATTTAAGACAGCCATATTTTTTTGCAACAATGCCTGGAATTTTGCAAGAATTTGCAACCAGAGGTGCTGTAAGTATGTCACATGGCAGGAAAATTATGGTTTTCTTTCAGGAAAAGTGGCACCAGCTACTTTGGAGACATTGCAATTGGTGCAATCCCCTGTGTTCTTATCCTTCTGAAGCACTTAACCCCAATGTCAGTGATTTCAGTGTAAGAGAAAACATCCATTGACCTGGAAAGATCCTACAGCATGTTCTGCAATCTATTCACTACCTTGTATTAGTTGTAATATCCCAGATTAAAGTGAATTGAAATACTGGCAAGTCCTGGTCAAAGTAAAAGCTGAACACAGTTTATGGTAGAGATGTGTAAGAAACAAAACAACTCAAGCAAAAGAATGGTAAAAGCAACGAGTAAATAAAGTGATTTACCATGTACAGAAGTTGGAGGTGGATTTCAGGACCGAGTTTTTCACACCTTGCAAAACTCTCTTGCCTACAGGTATCCAGAAGAAAAAGAAAAATACATTTAAAATTGAAAAGACTTGTGTTCACCTTAAACATATGATCAAATAAAAGGTTACATTAAACTGAAAGATGAGATTGAAGCAGGTATTCACAATGTTTGACTTCTGGCTTCTGAGACTAATCCTCAATTCCCTCTATCATCAGTAAAAAGAAACAAGCTCTTCTGAATGGTGCCTCAGAGCAGAAGCCTGTCCTAGCCACTGTGGATTGATTTCTGAAGGATGTTACTGGCTGCAGAAAGAGCCTACAAAACCAGAGGGACACCAGGTAAAAGTTAGGCCTTGTGATTACTGTCCCCAGGACCTGCAGATTGACATTAAAAAAAATAACTTTACCTACATCAGTCTATTTGGGTCATATCAGAACGTTCATCAGTTTAAAGACTAAGTGTTTAATGGGAAGATATTCCCTGCATGTTTGACAAATGGTTTCACTTTCTTATCTTTCTAGTGGATATGGTGATCATGACAAAAGTAATTTTATGATATTTCACAAAGTATCTTGTAAAATGGCAACCTTATTTTATGGTGGCTTTTAT